GCAAAATAATAACTCAATTTAATTTCGGGTTTGTTCGTTTTTGACGAATTGCTAGTCTAATTTGAGTGGAAACGGGCCAATGATCACAACTCAGGGCCTTTGGCCCTGAAACATGTCAAATTTTGGGCAAATTCCATCGTTTAGGCCCTCAATTATGCGTTTTTGCCGTTTATTGTAATTTTTGTTTTGACAATATCTTAGTCAAATAAACTCGGATTTGATTTCCGTTTGTTGGGGGACGATCCTGATGATTAGGAGAATCAATATCCGTGATTATCTCAATTTTTTCCATTTTTGGAAAAAATAATATTTTTTATTATTATGTAATTTCTTTTGGAATTTTATTAGGGTTTCGCTATTTAAACGTTGTAAGCTTTTGAGGCAGTTCAGTTTTGAATGAAATAAAGTTTTCTTGAATTTCTCTTGATTGAAATTCTTTTTGTGAGATTTTTGTCTTTCCTATAAGCTTCCACTGCATCAGATTTCCGATTATTCTCGTTGAACATAATGGTTGAACATGAAAAAGGGTTTGTTCACTGCGACATGAAACCCACCAACATTCTTGTTTTTCCCAGCGAAGATGGCTATACAAAATCTCTAGATAGCAGATTTTGGACATGCCAAGAAAATTGGAGAGGAGGAAATCTTGAGTCCTAGGCGAAAGATTCACAACAGAGGCGCACTGTTCTATTTGTCCCCAGAATCGATAGTGTTGGGGATGCACAAGCTAGTTACTGATATATGATCGATGATCACCGGCAGACGCATTTGGTCGACTGCTCGGAATGATGGAGAGTTTCGGCAGATTGGATTTTGTAATCCACTAACCGAAAATATTTCCGACATTGCAAAAGATTTATTGAACAAATGCTTGGCAAATAAACATGAACAGAGATGGACAACTGACATGCTGTTGAATCATCCATTTATTGTCAAGAATTTGGCGGCACTGCCTCCAAATTTTGGGAATGGTATATGGGCTTCTACATACCACCTCTTTACCACTCCACAGAAGTCTCAGATTCAATATCCTCATCAACTATGTGCACCCCGCAAGATTAATCAGAATGTTCATGTTCAGTATCTATTACCTCACCAGCTATATCAACCCTGCTAGAAGGTTCAAAATATAAGAAATTGAAAAAGTGAAGATGCTCTTCTTTGTAGAAGAAGAACAAATGAGAAATAATTGATTCTTGATTGAAGAGGAATTTGCCAGATTAATTACAGACGTCTACTTGTGCCTCAATATATACAAATAATTGGAATGATCTAGAATCCTACTCAAAACTAATTGACTGAAAAAATAAAACTATACAACGGAATTCTCAACAGAAAGAGGTTACACAGCAGACACATAACATAATGCAAATTGGCCTTTAGTGCGTCTGCTTGGTAGTGATCTACCCTTCACCATCACGCCTTTCTTTCCTTTGCTGATCAAGAGTCACAGGAGTCACAGCTTCATATTTCAACATCCCCAGCAAGATGGAGAGTGGATATCAATGACTCCCATCTTTTTCATGTGTCGGTAAAGTTGGAATGAATTTAACGATTTTGTTAAAATGTCAGCAACTTGTGAATCACTATTAAGATGTTCAGTGATTATACTTCCTTCCTGAATTTTATCCCTTATCAAGTGGCAATCAAACTCAATGTGCTTAGTTCTCTCATGGAAAACCGGGTTGGCTGCTATGTGGAGAGTTGATTTGTTGTCACAGAATAGAGTAGCTGCCTGTGGAAAATCAACTTTCAAGTCTTGAAATAAATACCTGAGCTAACTGAGCTCACAACATGCATTTGCCATTGCTCTATACTCTGCCTCTGCTGAAGACCTGGATATTGTGCTTTGTTTCTTTGATTTCCAAGATATTAATGACATTCCAAGCATTACACAATACCCTGTGACACTTCGCCGTATATCAGGGCAAGCTCCCCAGTCTGAGTCACAATAAGCATTGAGCTGCAATGTTGATTTAGCAAAGAGTAATAATCTATGTCCTGGTGCTCCCTTTATGTACCTCAAAACTTTGTTGACAGCATTAAGGTGAGAGGTGCGAGGAGCACTCATGAATTGACTTAACAGCTGTATCGAATATGAAAGGTCCGGCCTGGTAATTGTGAGGTATAACAATCTTCCAACAAGCCTTCTATCAGTTTTAGGATCAGGAAGTAGCTCTCCATCAGTTTTAGATATCCTTACATTTTGATCCAAAGGTATCCTTACTCCCTAATGTTCCTGAATCTGATAGGATGTCCAAAGCGTATTTTCGTTGGCAAGTATAGATTCCCTTATCAGACCTTGCTACCTCTATCCCAAAAAAATATTTCAATATGCCTAAATCCTTGATCTTAAATTTCTTATCAAGCAAGGCCTTAAGAGAATCAATGATGTTGACATTACTGCTAGCCACAATTATGTTATCCACATAGACAAGGATGGCAGTGAAAGAGCTCCCATTTGACCTTGTGAATAGGCTATAGTCTGCTTTTGATTAAGTGAACCCGTGTTCAATGATGAAAGCTGAAAGCTTGGAATACGATCGTCGAGATACTTGCTTAAGGCCATATATGCTTTTCAACAACCTACATACCTTCAAGCCCCCTGCATTAGGATGACCAGGAGGTACTTCCATGCATACTTCTTCTTCTAAATCCCCGTGTAAGAACGCATTATTTACATCGAATTGATGTAGATGCCATCCATTTACAGCAGCAACAGCAAGCAAGGTCCTGACAGTCACCATTTTTGCTACAGGTGAAAAAGTTTCAAGGTAGTCTAATCCCTCTTGTTGTGTGTATCCTTTTGCCACAAGTCTGGCTTTGAACCTTTCAACACTCCCATCAGCTTTATACTTTACCTTATATACCCACTTGTACCCAATGGATCTTTTGTTGGGAGAAAGCTCTGTGACAAACCAGGTATTATTCATCTCAAAGGCATCAATCTCAGCATTCATGGCCCTACACCAGTCAGGTGAAGCAAGTGCTTCTTGGTATGTGTCAGGTTCGATATGTGTGGTTATAGAAGTTATAAAAACTTTGTGGTTACTTGATAATCTATGATTTGATATGGTAGCACTGAGAGGAAATGATTTACCTGGAGTGTGAAAACCTTTGCCCTTGTTCAACTTCTGTGATGGATGAAGTGATGCCTGTTGACAGATGTAGTTTTCAAGATAAGAGGAGATCCCTTTGGCTCTTGGGGATCTACGTGTTGGTTCTTGATTATCAAATGGTTCTTGCTCAAGCTCTTGGGAATCTGGTGAGGGAGTTAGTTCTGTAGGATGATTATCCGATTCATGAGTTGAGAGGTAATGATAATTTCTATCTATGATTATCTCATCAGTAACATTTGTGGGAGAAATAGGAATACGATGTTCTGTTTCAGTGTAAGTAGGTATTGGTTGTGTCAATTTCATCGTAATATTTTCAGATGCATTACTATCTTTGCAAGGAAATTGGTCCTCATAAAATACTACATTCCTTGAGACAAAAACTTTCTTGGAGTCAAGATCAAGAAGTTTGTATCCTTTGATTCCAAAAGGATAACCTAAGAATATACACTTCTTGGCTCTTGACTCAAATTTAGTCCTGTAATTGGCCAAGGATGAGGCAAAGGCAAGGCATCCAAAAATTTTGAAGTATGAGTAGTCTGGCTTATGTTTGAATAAGATCTCAAAAGGGGTCTTGTTTCTAAGCAATGGTGAAGGCGTTCTGTTGATTAAATATACTGCAGTGAGGATGCAGTCATTCCAATATCTCAAAGGGACAGAACTTTGGATTTTTAAAGCTCTTGCAACATTAAGTATATGCTGGTGTTTTCTTTCTACAATGGCATTTTGTTGTGGTGTCTCGACACATGTTTTCTGGTGTATAATTCCCTCTTTATGGAAGTAATCTTTCATCTCAAATTCCTCCCCCCCGGGTTATCTGTTCTAATCACCCTTACTTGTGACTGGAATTGAGTTTTAATTAGAGCACAAAAACCTTGCAAAACTGCAGTTGCATCTGATTTTGATTTCAACATATATACCCATGTACACCTACTAAAATCATCTACTATGGAAAGGAAATATTTAGGTCCATCATAGCTAGTTTGCGTGTAAGCACCCTAGAGGTCACAATGTATGAGATCAAAGATTTTCTTGGATTTATGATGGCTGATAGAATAAGGTAACCTATGCATTTTAGCCATATGACAAATTGAGCAAGGCTCTTTAACAAGTTTAGGAGTGCAATTAATATTTAATAAGCCTAATCTAGAATCAGATGGATGTCCTAGCCTGCAATGCCAGAGGTAAAAATCCTTATTATTGTTAGATACATCTGCTCATATGGGAGATTTGTTTAGAATAAGAGAGAGGGCTTCTGTTAGGGCTGAGCGAGAAACTTGAGTTTGTAGAAGATTGTATAATCCCTACCTCACTTCACCCATTCCAGTCGTTTTCAAGGTCAAAAGGTCCTACACAAAACAATTTTCAGAGAGGAATATGAGACAACATTTAGAAGTTTGTGTTAGTTTCCTGGCTGATATCAAATTAAATGCAAAGGATGGAATGCAAAGCACATTATTCAGAGTTAAATTTTCTGTGACTTTTACAGTTCCTGTGTGTGTAGCATTAACCAGATCACCATTTGGAAGGGAGACTGAATAAGACACTTTGGTTGGGAGACTGCTATAGAATGAGGTGCAACAGACCATATGGTCTATTGCTCCTGTGTTGATTATCCATGGTGTGTTAGGACCTTTGCTAGTTTTGACATCATAGACTGATAGGCAGAATGAGATACTAGAGATTTTTGGAACTTGTACATCTGTAGGAGTTATGTTTGTGAGGGATCTACTGTTTTGTGACTGCAATAGTGCCAGAAGCTGTGCGTGTTGCTCCTGAGTAAATGTCACTTGATTGGCATCATCAGTATTTCCTTGGGTCTGCAAAGAAATTAGGATAGCATATCCTTTTCCTTTTTCATATAATCTGTGTCCAGGAGGGTATCCATGTATCTTATAGCACCTGTCCACAGAATGTCCTGTCATATGGCAGTGGTTGCAAGTAGCTTTGTTGGGGTTGGCCTTGGTGCATCTTTCTAGTGAATGTCCAGCCATTTTACAGAAAGTGCAGTAGTATTTTCTCTGTATGGTTGTATTCTGCCTTGTTGTATTATAGGGGATTCCTCTCATAGCAAAAGCTAAGGAATCAGGCACAAAGGTGTCCATAGAAATCTGTCTTCTCTTCTCCTCATGTTGGATTATGGAAAACACTTCATTCAGAGTGAGAAACGGCTTTATCAGCAGGATTTGAGCCTTGATCGCCTTGCATGAGTAATTCAGCCCCATCAAAAACTTCATTACCCAGTCTCTTTGTTGGTTTTCAATCACAGGTTTGAAACCTCCACAAGTGCAGTTAGGGATGCACTCATAGTTCATCAATTCATCAAGGAGTGTTTTATATTTTGAGAAGTATACGCTCACCATTTCTTCATTCTGCATTAGAGCAGCAATGGACTGCTTAACCTCATAGATTCATGGGGCGTTTTGTTGTCCTAACTGATGTTCCAGATCCATCCATAGCTCACGAGTCGTGTCTGCATAGAGTGTGCGGGATTTGATGTCAATAAACATGGTGTTTTGCAGCCAGGCAATGACTATGTCATTGCAACGTAGCCAATGTTCCATCAGAAGGTTGCTGGTATGTGCTGGTTCAGTGAGACTTCCATCGATGAAACCCAATTTGTTCTTACTTCGAAGTGCCCTTTTTATGGACCTTGCCCAAGCATAATAGTTGGTATTGTCAAGCAATTGGGTCACCAGTATTGCGCCTGAGTTCTCGTTTGCACCAATATAGTAGGTGATTCTGGGATGAGTATGATCATTGGAATGAATGTTTGGTATTGGATCAGTGTTAGGATTTTGATCAGAATTTGCATTCTGATTTGTTGTTTCTATTGTGGTGCTTTGATTGTCTGCCATAGTTTATGGCTCTAATACCATATAAGAAATTGAAAAAGTGAAGATGCTCTTCTTTGTAGAAGAGAGAACAAATGAGAAATAATTGATTCTTGATTGAAGAAGAATTTGCCAGATTAATTACAGACGTCTACGTGTGCCTCAATATATATACAAATAATTGGAATGATCTAGAATCCTACTCAAAACTAATTGACTGAAAAAATAAAACTATATAATGGAATTCTCAACAGAAAGAGGTTACACAGCGACACATAACAGAATGCAAATCGGCCCTTAGTGCGTCTGCCTGGTAGTGACTCTTCTACCATTCACCATCACACCTTCCTTTCCTTTGCTGATCAAGAGTCACAGGAGTCACAGCTTGATTGTGTTGAATCACAGGAGTCACGGCTTCATATTTCAACACAAAATGCAATATGAAGTTCATTGTTTTGCCACTGAGAATTTGGTGTCTTTTGGAAGCCATCTGAGAAAAGTTTGCTGCCTAGTTTAGGAATTTGTCATAATTTGAGCTTTCTAGGTTATTTCTAGTTTGTTGAAACAATGAGTCTGTTTTTCTTTTTCGTGATACGTAATTTTTGTTGTTTCTCTGCAGGAGATTCGTTTTTATTATGTTTTACGCTCATTAATGTTGAGCGTGACCAAGTCTTTGATATGTGGCTAATAGACATTAGTGGCCATGCCATCCTAGTCACGACAAGCCTTTGTGTTTTCTGTACCCTTCTATGTATCGATAGCTAATGAAATGAAACGGCCTTTCTAAATACTTCTCTTTGATCTACTATCGCATCAATTTTGGGGAAAAAGATTATGACGGCTTTCTTTTGTATGACAATGAATTTTTGTCAGTCAGTCGCTTTACTTGTTTCATGAAAGTTTTCTGCATCTAGTAGCAGAGTGTGCCACACAGGAGTCTCCTGTCGAGTTTTAATAATGGTTTTAGATTAAAAAAAAAAAAAAGATGTGAATGTGACAACTAACCTTCTTGAAATATAAAATTCTGTAATTAATATTTTTTATTTGAACAGATTAAAACAATACGCTAACACTTGTTATCTCTATAATTGAAGTTCAAATAAGCTACAGACAACACGTTGAAGATGATACCAATAAATAATCCTTGTGTAGTGACCAGTATTGTCACTTTGTCTCATCTTTTGTCCATTTTCTTCGTGAATAGGTGTTCATTTTTTATTCGGGATGTCTTGACTTGAATCCGAGACACAAATTCACTCATTTAAGCACCTTAAAAGTGAGTTAAAACAACTACGTAGATTAGTGAAGTAGTAGTATCGTGAAAGAATTTTGAAAAAAGTATGAAATACGATCAAAATCATAAATGTACGACACTTGACTTATACATATTTCAATCCTACTCGAGCTCTAAATAAAATAAGTAAGTCCCGTTGAAATGTGGTTGAAAATAAAAATTCGATAATTTACAAATTTTGTCGAACGATAGCTTATTGAAAAGAGCCGTGCTACTTGTACGTGGAAAAAGGAGGATTGTTTTGTTGATAATCTCTCACACATGGAGTGAGTAGGTAATTTTTTTTTTATTTTAATTACAGGTCGTCAACGGTCAACCCTTCCTCTGCAAATCGAATTTCCCTACTGATAAAACATCCTAAATCTAGATTCTAGACCATCGAATATAAGGCCAGAACCAGAGCTGACATACCTTTTTATTCACTCACGTTCATGAAAATGGCTTCCTTCCACACCATCCATGGCAGTGGCACCACCCATCAAGCCGAACCCATTACGCCATCTGAGCTCCGATCTGAATTCTCGCATCACGACCCGACCGTTGCCCGAGTTAACAATGGAAGCTTCGGCAGCTGTCCCTCCTCCATCATCTCCGCCCAGCAACGCCACCAGCTTCTCTTCCTCCGGCAACCTGACTACTACTACTTCAACACCCTCAAGCCCTCTATCCTCGAGTCCCGCCGCATAATCCGGTCACTCATCAATGCTGATCATGTCGACGAAGTCTCCATCGTTGATAACGTCACCACCGCTGCCGCCATCGTCCTCCAGCACTACACTTGGTCCTTCTTCTCCTCTGCTTTCAAGCCTGGAGACGCCGCCATAATTCTCAACCACTCTTACAGTGCCGTTAAGAAGGCTGTGCGAGCTTACATTTCGCGCGCCGGTGGCCACGTGATCGAGGTGCCCATCCCTTTCCCAGTTAAATCTGATGACGAGATAATTTTAGAATTCCAAAATTCCCTTCAAATGGCAAAGGCTAATGGTCGAAAGATTAGATTAGCCGTGATTGATCACATTACTTCCATGCCTAGCGTTATAATACCGGTGAAAGAGTTGGTGAAAATGTGTAGAGATGAGGGTGTGGATAGAATTTTTGTGGATGGCGCCCAAGCAATAGGGAATGTGGAAATAAATGTGAAGGAGATAGGTGCAGATTTTTACACGAGTAATTTGCACAAGTGGTTGTTTTGCCCGCCAGCTTCGGCCTTTCTGTATTGTAAAATGTCGGATGAGTTGTCGGACTTGCACCACCTGGTAATCTCGCATGAGTATGGTAATGGATTGGCAATGGAGAGCGGGTGGGTCGGGACAAGGGACTATAGTGCACAGCTAGTGTTGCCAGAGGTGATGGAGTTTGTGAGTAGGTTTGACGGTGGAATTGAAGGGATAATGAGGAGGAATCATAAGAAGGTAGTGGAGATGGCCGAGTTGTTGTCCGAAGCATGGGGGACGGAACTGGGGGCTGTCCCAGAGATGTGCTCGAGTATGGTAATGGTGGGAATGCCAGCTTGTTTGGGGATTAAGAGTGATGAGGATGCGTTGAAGTTGAGGACACATTTGAGGGAATGTTTTGGGATTGAGGTACACATGTACTACAGGGCACCCATGGAGGGAGAGGTCGATCAAATAACTGCGTATGCCAGGATCTCTCATCAGGTTTACAATAGGGTTGAGGATTACCACAGGTTCCGGGATGCTGTCAACAAGCTAGTGAAGGATGGGCTTACTTGCTCGCTTCTTCCGAACTGAAAAGGCACTAATTTTTGCTCTATCTTGCTTTCTACTATTATTAACAACGTTGTTTGCTTCAACTGCTGTGGAATTGCACTCATATGCATATTGATATATCATCATTGGTATGGAAGGATCTTTATCCTTTTGATACTTCATTCAATATTTGTTGATTATTCGTATTGTGCTTACAAGTTACAAGAAACTCCGATTACACGAGATGAGAATGAATATAAAAGGATCAGGTGCTTTATTCTGCTTCTTGTGGGAAGTGATTTTTGACATGATGCTACATAATCTTTGGCCAAGGGCCATTTAGCCATCTACTCTTCTTCATTAGCTAATAGAGAATTGAGAATAATTGCATAATACAAGAGATCGATGGTTACCAATCCAGTTTTTAATTTCTTAAACACCACTGCATTACTTTGGACCACTACCATAGTTAGGGTCATGGAACTGTGATCTAGATTTGTTGCACAAAATGTTACTGCCATTTGACTCTTGAACAATCTCAAAATGTACGTTCAACACCAATGTTACGTTTGCTAAGTGAAAGTATTACTCAAATCTTGTTATTTAGCATTTGCATTCAATTAAGATAATGCATTGCATGTTAAAATTGGCATGCTATCTGCTGAAATGGTGAAGAAAAAAGAACAATATGATCAGCTTATTGACATAAGATAACTGTGTTGTAAATACTACCTCAAAGAGGCAGAGTATAGGATTGGACAAGTCTTGGGGATATGGTGCATAAGCGGAATTAAAATTCTTGAAACAAGAAAAGAATTGAAAAGGTTGAAAATTTATAGAGACTAATTTGATTGTAATGAATTTTTTCTTGAAAAGTATACAAAGCCTCCGTTTGTATGGGCAAATTAATTCCCTAAATATAAATAAATAAAGCAATTAAAATTCTAAAATGAGGAAAAAAAATCATATTCTAACAAGAAAAAAAATTCGTATTCTAAACCAGAGATAAAATGCTACTACAACAATAAATAATTCCTATCCTATTTGTAATAGGTTTGTCCTACAGCAGGATAGTTGAAAGATATACGGAGGCAGTGAAATATACAGATTTACCGAAAGCTGTGATTAAACATTTTCTCAGGGGATTTCTATTCAGCGCTGAAGAATTATGGTTATAAGTGCACTATTATCCTAAATTAGCTTCTGGGATGTAACAGGACATGAAGAATAATATTTAAGGATAAAAAGAAGTGTTGAACCAAAGAAGCAGCAGAAGGGATAGAGAAGATGTATACTGGAGGAAAGAGAGCTTCATTTTTTCAATGGTAAGGACGATTTAGGCTGTCATATCTTAAGTTCTCATGCCATCAATTCTCTTCAAGACTTCAGATGACTCCTAATACGATAAAAGACTTTGAAATAATTTTTGCATTTTTTATATTGCAAATGTGTGATATCGTAAAAAGTAATATAGTAGACCTTTGAGTCCGGATTATGGCCAATTTTTCGCTTCCTTCTTTTGGTTCCACTTTCATTCATCGAGTTTCACTTGATAACATATTATATAATAAATTAAGCTATAATTTCATTAAAAAAACTACGAAATATCAATATTTTAGAGTCCGAATAAGTTACCCGAGGAAATCATATACACAAAATATTGAGCATCTTATTAATGGAAAAGAGGGCATATATTTCATTTGAATTAGAGAATTTAATTTCCCTACAAGTCCTTGGAAATTGATGGTTTATCCTTGTGTTTCCGCATTGCATTAATATGTCGGTCGTAGTTCTAATTTACATTACTTAGATAAATTTGGCTTTGGATGGCTGTATCAGCAAATTCAAGCACCACTGATTAGTGATTACTAAAATAACCCCTGCAATTGCCGGTTGGTGGCTTCCGGCTGGTGGTTATATGAGGCAAGTACAACCAAAACAGGAGATGTTTGGTACTACACTTGGAGGATAGTACATCATGAGATGTAGAAAGATTTATCATTATGAAAGGAGAAGCTGGAGAGAAGGTGAAGGCAGGAAAAGGACTTGAGAGTGAAGGGACCAGCATTAGGCATCACAACCCCATTAAACCGAGCATCTTTAAATACATGTCTGATATTGCTTGTTTGATTTGAGTTCTATTTTGCTACTTTCTGATTTATGCACATTTTAGGTGCCATACGGAGAAATTCCCAGTTCTCCTTTTAGTGCTTCGAAGAAGACATAAAGTTCTTGTTATGATCTTGAATATAACGTGAAAAACGGGAAAATATTACATTCAAAATAGAATATAGATGTTGTGAAGATAAAGTTGAGGTCGATAGTTCAAAGATTGGTACCTTGTCCTTGTTGGTTAGGGTTTGTTAATATCATGAAAATAAACTTGGAATTTTGTTAATTTTTTAATTCACTATTTTGAAATTCTAGCGATATGAGTGAAACTCGTGCATTTTTTCCTGCAAAATTGCTTGTTGAGGTTTATGGAATCGATACGATAAAACATTTACTAATTTTCGAATAACCAACATAACAAGCACTAAAGTTTAATTTATAAACTATATTATACAATCGGTATTTTAAAAAGCGTAAAGCGTGGTTAGACGTACAAGTCAAGCTTCAAGCGTTTCGAGTTTACGCGTAAAAAAATATTTTCTTATTTTTTATATTTTTTAAATTTTTAGCCACTATAAAATATTTAATAATTAAAATAGTACATACCAAACATCTAAAATTATAAAATACTATATTTACTTATTAATTCCTATAACTAGTAAATTATACAAATTTCAAAGGAAGATTTTGAAATTAAAGTCAAATAAAAGGAAAAAATAAAAAAATTAATAAAGCATGCTCAGGCACTCCGAGTCGTGCATTAAGCGGTCTACTTCGCAGTTGATAATTTAATTTTACGTTTACTGTTAAGACGTGGCGTTTCGCATGCACCTCGTGTGTAGGTACACTTTTTAATACACTGTATATAATACAATACAATTTGATGATATAAAATTAGCATAGTAACTAAATAATTAAAATATTAGCCATTTATTCCCTTAAGGGTTCGTTAAGAAAACGATGGTGACATGTTGGAAGTACGTTTAGACGTAAAAGTACATTATTGCACAAACCTAATATCTTTGTACTACTAGCAATTTTTATGTGTACTGCTAAATATTCCTTCGTCAGAAATTTAGTCAATAAAAAGAGGGTTCCTTTTCATCCATTTCGGTAGGAATTTGTTGTCGAACAACATTTTTGTGCTAAATCTTTAAATTCTTGTCGTTTCGTAAACCTTTAGATCAACATCATCTTGGTAACACCTTGATCAGAAAATGAATTGAAGAGTCGAGATTATGATCACACGTCGTCAAGGTAACTAATAGGAGTGTGGTGAGACGGGGGCGAGGCGGAGCATGAAATGGGCCAGTCAACGCCACATTTTGGGTGTTGCTGCCCTTTCCATGCACTGCCTCTTCCCTGGCTCCCCTCTTCCCCTTTTATCTCTCTCTTTTGTGTGCACATGAATACACACTATTTGATAATCTGGATTTTTGGCATATATTTACATTGTTAGTCAAGATTTATGATAGATTTTGATTCGCATGGAAATCATGAGGATAGAAGGATAATGACTTATATTTACATTGTTATTTTTTCCTAATTTAGTTTGTTCCTTTACGAGGAGGCGTATAGCAAACCGTGTTGCCCATGCCTTGGCAAAATTTACACGTTCAAGCACAAAGCTTATGTATTGTATAGAGTCGCTTCATTTCAATTTTGATCTTGTACAACTTGATATGAATGGATTAAGTTCATCTTTTGCAAAATCTAACTTCTCATGCGCTATCGCAACTTTTTGCCTCGTCTCAGAAGCAACTTTCGATTTTTCAAAAGTCCTACCAAACGGGTCCTTATATTGTACCTTTGAGTTTTTATGATCCAAAAATTAGTTACTTAACTAACATCGTTATCATTATGGAAAAAAACAAGACAACAAAAATTATAAAAATTGATTAGTGATTATTATGTAGTAATTACATGTAAAAGATAATATGGAGCCTATATGGAACAACATAAAGTGTAGAGATATCAAGATTTCTCATCCCATTTATGGTAAGTATTGAGATGATATAGAGGCAGCTACAGGTCAAAACTGTGGCTGTAGAAATGGAACACTGATTGATTGTTTCTTCTATTGAAATTCTGTGTCCTGCACTTTTTAGCAACAATAGTCTGAAGTGTTGGAGAGCCACAAACAATTACACCAATGTCGACATTTCCCCAAGGCTCTGCCATCGACCCAAAAATTTCTGCAGCGTAGAGGAGAGAAGTATAGTAAAAAAAAAAAGGCAATCTCAAGTCTCAAGCACTATCTTAACGACATGAATTCGTTGTACGAGAACAGGAAGGGTACATTTACTATCAAGAAAAAGTGGATAGTGAAAGTAAACCCCCAAAAAAAGGAAAAAACGAAGAAAGATTTGGGAACATACTGCTGAATTTGGGTCTTTGACCATACCGAATAACGTTGAGACGTTGTTCCTGCTCAGAATTCTTATGTATCTGTCTCTTACAAGAACCCCAAAAAGGACAACACTAATGGTCATGCATGCTAAGAATAAAAGCCCCTTGTACCACCGATGAGGTATGTTATAAGGGTTTTTGTACAAGATATCCAAACAAATAGACAGTAATCACCAAACCCAAAGTAGACATTATAACGTATAATCCCGACCATATAATGTTTCCAGTGCCAACCAACACAGACATTCCACATTTTCGGAGGCAGGGAAGATAGGAGAATTAATAGGTTCTACAACATGCCCCTCTTCCTGCAATTAACACATTGAATCAATCGATTAAAAAATGAAGATACAGTAATGTTAGAGTGAAAAGATGAGTGCAATTACCAATGAGGTCTCTGTTTGTCGAGTAAAGTAGGTTTGAATCTCAAGGATCAGCGCATCAGAAAAAAAATGGACAGATAGACCTCATATAGACTGTCTGAAGAAGTGGAAGCTCTTTCGATGTTTTCACAGCCCATA